CATCTGCCTCTAAATCTCCATTCACTACAGCTGAGTGAGAACGAGCTAAGGGTGCTTTGAAAGGGCTGGCACCGCCTAAGTCAGCACGAGTCTCTTCCTCAGAGTACACAGAGCTGTTCATGGGGCTATCAGCTAGGGTGTTGTCTCCCAGATTCAGGGGTCCCTCGGCTCCCGCTGAGGGGAGATTTCGGGTCAGGGGTGGGCTTACACTGGGTGTCGAGCCCTCAGATTCCTCTGTCTTCACAGACGTGGCATCAGCAGCTGTGTTTTTCATAGACCCAGAGCTGAAGACATCAATTTGAGACTTGGAGCCTGTTGTTAAGGCCAAGGGAAGGAGCTGCTGGGTTTGAGAGGGGGAGCTTATGGAGTCATTCTCAGCATCATCAAAGAACGCACTTTCCATCTCTGCACCATCTTCAGGTGGCACATCTTCATCAGGTGGTATTTGTCCTCCTAGGTGCAAGCGAATGTGGTGCTGAAGAACCAGTGCATTGGTGAACTTGCGTGGGCATAGCGGGCAGGAGTTCAGGGCACGTGCATTTGGCGGTCTAGCACGGTGAGTGGCCAGGTGAGCCCTAAGACTCCCCTTTGTGGAGAAGGAGCGACCACACATCTTGCATGGGAACGGACGCTCTCCCAGGTGCGTAGCCTGGTGCAAGCGCAGAGCTCTAGGGCAGCTAAGGATACGCAGGCACACTCCACACTGATTAGCAACCTGGGTGGTAGGCAGAGAAGGGGCAGTTGTGGTAGTGGTTGTGCCTGACCCTGAGACTCCCTGGCTGGTCACTAGTCCTGTGGCATTGACACTTGGACTCAGGCCAAGAGCAGCCAACATTTCCCTGCGGTAAGTACTAGAGATGGTGGTCAGGTCGTGGCCGTGTGTATCCCCATTGGCATCAGCAGGTGTTTGGGAGGAGGTCGAGGGAGAAGAGGCAGAGGAGGATGAAGAGGCACCTCCCTGTGGTTGTTTTTCAAGCTTCTGTACCAGCCGCTGCAACTTGGAGGTGTCAGAGGTCTGGGCAGAGGTGGTGGGAGAGGATGAGGAGGGAGAGGAGGCTGGTGGTTTGGGGAAAGGTGGAAAGGGGAAAGACAGTTGATGGGGGGTAGTGAGGTGGGAGCTGGATGGGTGGCCTGTGGGCCGGAGAAGGGTGAGGTGATGAGGGGAGGCACCTCCAGGAAAAAGAATCTTGGGGAGGTGGGCTAGTTGGGAGTATGGGGAGGTTGTATGGAGGGTGGACTGAGGTGGAGTGTTTTCATCAAAACGCTGCTGCTTTGCTCCTTTGTACTGGCTTCCCAAGGAGGAGGAGGAAGACGAGGATGAAGAAGAAGGCAGTACAGTGCCAGATGCACTGGCAGCAGCTGCAGCTGAGGCTCTGTTCAGCTGTAGCAGTGAATGGGCTGTGGAGAGCAGCGCCATGTCCACTGATGGAGGCAGAGGAAGAGAGGAAGGCGAAGGCCGAGTGGATGCACCAGACAGGAATCCTAAAGCCATATTTTCCGTCATCCCAGGAATGCTTCCTTTCACCCCATTAAACGACTCGTCATCATAAGCCCGTCGTTTTCTCCTTCTCTGGAGGGCACTGGGGACAGATCCACTCTGGGTTTGCTCAGACAGTGCTGGGGGCAGCAGGGAGAGGGAGAGCTCTGGATTCTGCTCTCTGTGTCTCAGGAAATGAGCTTTCAGGTTCCCTCTTGTTGTAAAACGACTCAAGCAGACTGGACACTGGTAGGGCCTTTCACCTGTATGTGACCTCAGATGGATCTGGAGCGATGAATCACTGCTCAACACTTTCCCACAGAATCGGCAGACGTGCTGAGGGCGTCCTGATAAGGAGGCAGGGGCAAGAGAGGAGCTGGATTGGATGTCCTGGGAATGGCTGGTGGTAGGAAGGGGAGGAGTAGGGAAACTGACACTGTTGCTGTGGCCAAATGAGGAGGTGTTAGATGATTTCTCATGGAGGTAGCGTGGTGGTAGGCCCAGTGACAAAGACAGTGGGTGCAATGAGGCAACAGAGGAGCTGATGGTGGATGAAACAGATGAGGAAGAGGTAGACGAAGATGGAGCTCTGCTGCCATTAACATGTGAAGTGCCTGGTTTGGAGATGACTGGCTGGAGGAAGAGGGAAGATGGAAGGCTAGTCAAAAGTGATGAGGCTGTGGTTACTGGAGCAGCAGTGGAGGGATATGTTGGTGATGAAGATGCTGCTCCTGTAGACTTCTGGTTGCTGTCTGCATCACTGGCCTGTGTGTCATTTTCAAAGACAGCCCCACCAAGCCTGAGTACGTGCCTGCAGATCTCTTCTGTTATCTGCATCTGGTGGATTTGCCTCTGCTGTAAAACCCTCAGCTCCTCTAGAAGAACTGCCAGGGTTGGAGGCACCTGGATCTGTCCCTGCAACCCCGGAGAGCTGGAGGACTGCTGCTGACCTGGACTGGAGCTGTCTCGGGTAGGAGGCACACACTGAGAAGATGTGGAGGAAGAAGACGAGGAGGAAGTAGTCGTTGTAGCTGAGCTGCCCATCGGTGGAGAGGTCATGGTGGAGTGAGAATTTCCTTGGTGGGACATGCTGTGGGAACCTGAGGTTTGACCTAGTGGAGGGGGCGAGTGAGTCTGGGAAGACAGTGAGGGGTGAGGGAAGTCTGGGGACAGGGATGAGTGGGTGTTGGGGAGGGATGTGGTGAAGGCAGTGATGTGACTGGGCCAGTGGGGAGGAGGCGAGCTCTCGCTGGGTAAGGAGGGCGCGTGGAGCCCACCAGGGGATGGGCGAGGGGCCAGAGGCGGCTGGCAGTCTTGGAGAGAGGTGGGGGATGAAGAGGAAGACCCCGATGAGGTCACTTCTGAGCCCAGAGATGTGGATGGTGACTTCATTCCCAAGTGATCATCTTAGGATTGACAGAAAAAGAAGAATGCTAAGAACTTTTTTAAACCTGTTTCTTTATTATTGAATACACATTCTCCAGGATCAATTCAGTTATCCAGCCACATACATTCATTCACTTTTCAGCTTCAGACTATGTTTCATTGTTTTACTGTTTACCAATTTAGGTTTCAAATGTGTGTGCATGCCAAGAAATTCTGTTACAACCTGAAAAGAAATGCCTGCTAGGAAGTGGCCTCGAGCAAGCAAACAAGTGGAAGAACCTCCGCAGTCTATTATGAGTCTTTGGGATGTGTTGTCTCAATCTGTGCTGTCCAGAGGAAAACTCCTCAAACATCTTGCACACACAGAAAAGCTTACAGACCACCTTGCTGCTATGGCAACACATTATAGAGGACAATGGGCATCACCAAGACAACCCATAACCCCTCTTAACCCACCCCCTCCCTACAGCAGTTGCATCTTTCATCTCCCTGTTCACCCTTCCCCCCTTACGTCACTGTGGAGGTCAAGGGTCAGGCCATGCTAAGGGTTCTGGGCACTATCCAGACCCTCTGATTGGTCAACTAAATCTGACCTTTGCCACCCACAGGTCAAATTCTTTCAGAATCTTGAATACAGAGTGAGAAAGAGTAAAAAGAAAAAGAAGGGGGGATGGTAACAACAATGGAGAGACAAACTAACTATTCCCACCTGGAGAGATATGGAATAAAAGACTGTACCTTGGTGAAATTCCTTCCCTGTGACTTAAAACCAAACTTGAAGCTGCAGGGAATTTGTAAATTACCTCCAAATCTAAACTTTCACTTTATCTGCAGCAACTTTTAGGTGTGTGCACTTGAAGCAATATTCCATTGCAACACAGTACAAGTGTGAGAATAATCTATCCCCACTGAATCCTTTCCCCCCTCCCCCCCCCCCCCAAAAAAAAAAAAAAAACTGCGCAGGAGTATACAGTCAATAGTGCTGTGGGACTAGAAAGAGAGAGAAAGAAAGAGGAGGGAAGTGCTGAGAAGGTGGAAAATGGGGGAAGAGGGGTGCATAAGGAAGAAAGGCATGGATGAGGAGCAAAAGAAGAAGAGAATAGAAGGGTGAAAGATTAATCTTTACCAAAAACACTGCATTTCCTTCCCCCACCACGCACTCTATTGTTAAAAACATAAGAGAGTGCCCAGTATCAGTCGAAGACTTCCAGCCGTCAGCGCTGAGCAGCCTGTTGGTTTGCCAGAGGACGCACAACACATGAAAATGGCCACAGATGTATGTTAGTTAATCCTCCTCTATTCACTTCACAGGAGAAAGTTTATTGGCCCCAGCCAAAGTGTTTAAAGCCTCCATTTAATGGGGCCCATTACAATGAATAACTAAGCAAGAGGGGTTTCTTTAGCTGACAATTTTAGATCTAAAACTTTTTAATTTAGTAAATCAGGTGCATTTTTCGGAAAATAGCTGTTAATACATACACCTATAAAAATCAAAGACAAATATATTACAGAAGAGTCCTGCACAAAGTATAGATAGATAGATAAATAGATCCCGAGGGAAATTCAGGTATAGTATACAGACTACAGCCTATTGTTTTTTTAAAATACCTTTAAAGATTTTCAGACTCTGGCGATGAATTCCACATGCAGTGATGAGCACCAGTGTGTTATAGGACATACAGCCTCTCGCCCAAGAAATTCAGAAAAAGAAACGCATGCGTAAAGATGTTTTCTCACCGTGAGATAGCAGCCTTGGGCCCCCGGGATCCGCGTTAACGAGATGCTGGGGCCGCTTCTGCTTCCGGCGTGACATGATTCACGGCGAGTCAGACAGAAAGGGGGGCATCCGTCGGTTGAATGGCACCAGGCACGTTTTTGCGCACTTGGACTGAAAGCATCCAAAGTTCAAGTGTCGCACAATTCCCGCAAGCTTTTAGATAAAAAAAAAATAATTTAAAAGGTGTATATTCAGCTTTAAATGTTGAAAGAGAAAGGAACAAAGTAAAAAATACGGCATAGGTGTTTGTAAATCCGTAGGTCTGCACTGTGTCATATGAGGCTACCGTGAGTGCGTGTGTGGCTGTTTTCTAAAGTCTCTTCTCCCCAAAAAACTTGTCCAATTTGCGCCCCTCCTCTCACGCTGCTACCCCGCAGCATGCACATACAGGGAACACACACAAACACACATGCCATACACACACTCATACAGACAGAACCACTCCTTGTTCGACGATGATATTTGCATTTCAATGGCGTGTAACACACTGCATCCCTGGTTCTCCCTTTCTCTGTCTCCCCAGCTTTATTTTTCTTTACACACTCACGCAGCAGCTATAAACTTTCAATAAAACCAAGACAAAGAGGCGTCAATGCCGTCGGATGCCAATAAAATAAGAAAGGCGTAAGAACTTGGTTCTAGTTAAGCATAAATGTTTTAATCGTTGGAAGGGAATAACATCAAAACTGTTCAAATTGAGATGCAATAAGTCTAAAAGAAGTTTGACTAATCAGTCAGGTGGCATTTGTTTAGGAACCCCCCCTGGTGTACTGCACCTGAAATCCTCAGCAAGGCGGAGAAATATTAAATATTCAAAGCTGTAACAACTGACTGGCAGGTGGTTTCCATCAAAAACTCGAAAAACCCGTCTTCTCAGCGATGTTACTGGGCCAGATGACCAGGCCATGTTTCTACTCTTTAATTTCCACTGGTCCGATTAACAACAGCGGCGCAGTGGATGGCTGCTGTGTGCAGGTAGGGCCACACAGCCATTCCACATGCACCCATGTATTTCGTGTGTTATCGCCAAGCGCATAATAACCCCCCCTCCCGAACCCGAGAAAACATCTTACACTGGAGCTCTATTTAAAAGGCAGAGAATAGATGGGAATCTCTGACAATGGCGTGCTGGACACAGTTGAGTGAGCATCTCCCTTCTCTCACTATGAACCCCCGGATCCACTGCTGCACAGCACAATGCCCCTCTTTCACTCCCTCCTTTACTCCTGTACCACGTGGAGAAACGGATAAAAGAGAAAGAGAAAAAAGTGGGAGGAGGAGAAGGAGGAGGGATGTATTTAAGTAGGTGTCACATTATACATATATCCACTCAGAGCCTGCTAAGAAATAGGCATAATTTAATTTGGGACAAATAACTGCCATGCCTAGATTAACTAAAGGATTACAGACTGGGATGTCCAGTAAAGTGGCTTCATTCAAAATCATTAGCATCCCATGGAAAACAAGATGAATAATTATAAAATTGCATGTAAAGTCAAAGTCCAAGAGATTGTTTTGCTTTAAGTCTGTTAGCAGTACTCGGATCATTTCCTTAAATAAATTTTCAGGCAGCAAATTGTAAAAATATTCCAATAAAAGTGAAAGCAATGAGTTAAAAATGTTCACTAAATAAATATTAGAAGAAATGGAAGGTAACTTTACTCAAGTTCTGTACTTAATTTTGAGTTATCGATAGAGTATTTTCGACTTCACTACATTTTAAAGGTAAATATTGTACTTTTTATTTCACTACATTTCCTTGTACATTTATTTTTACATTTCAGTTATTAGTTACTGTCCAGAATCAGACTAACTACATTATAATTAATATGACTGTTGATCCCCACTGGGAAAGTCACAAGCTACGAGCATAATTAACACCACCTTCATCAGCTGCAACTTTAAATGTGATGCACACAACAATACATCAGTAAAAAAAAAAAAAAAAAAAATATTATATACATTAATGTGAACTGTGCCATTGTATTGGACAAAAAAATCAGATATTTCTCTCTAAAATGTATAGAATGGCAGAAAATGCAAATACTCAAGTAGAGCACAAGTAAGTCTATGTCAAAAACAGAAAACACAGACCACAGTACTAGAGCAAAATATTTAATTATTTCCCATCACTTTTATAATGTTTACCTTTACCAGCCTCACCATTTTGGAAAACAACATGAGTATACTTGCAACACCCTGAAATTGGTTTGTATTAGTCGTGTAGTATTTGTTGTTATTTTTTGGTATATTGTAGTTTTAAGTCCTGAATTTTTGGAGTACATATTTAGTGTATTATGAGTTGCACTCAGCCAATCAGATCACAGTAGTAATTGCGCGTCATCAGCGGTCACCTGCACGGGGAAGAACTAACAGGTAAGATGTGAAATTCGCCGAAGTTAACATAAAAAATGTCTAATAACGGAGCTATCCTGTTATAGTTATTGTAAGATAAATATGACAAGAAATGTGTTTTAAGGCAAACTTGTGTTTTCAAAAGCAGCCTTAGCATATCAATACGTCAACGTATTAACGTAACAATTTAGCTAATGTGGATCGAGAGCTAGTTGATTAAACATTAAGCTAGGTCGCTAGTTAGCATAACCGAAAACTTAGCCACATAGATATTCTTCATACTCTAAAGTTATGATATTTATAGGATTTTGTATTTTTCTTATTGATACTGTACATTGGTCTGAATTAGCAGTCGAAATGAAAAAAAACAAAAAAAACACTGGAAATTAAGTAAATTGTTCTACAGCAGTTGACAAAGTCATTCCCAGTGCAGACCTGCCAAATGCTAATTGACTCGCTCATTGTTGTTTTACCTTGATACAGTAACATGTTTCCAACAGGAACTGTTCAGGATTTCTTTGTAACTTTAAGTTAATGATTGACTTATTTCAGTGGTCTCATTACTGTACTCTACAGTCATGGCCATGTCTCTCTGCGATGACACACTTTTGTGTAACTTCACAAAGTGTCGGACCAAGCTGAGCGGCTTCGCCTGGGTCACAGCATGCTCTCATATTTTCTGTGATCAGCACGGGTCTGGTGAGTTCAGCCGCTCTCCTGCCATCTGCCCAGCTTGCTCCTCTGCACTGTCTGGGAAACTGGACATTGTGAGGACGGAGCTGTCGCCCTCTGAGGAATACAAAGCCATGGTGCTGGCAGGTCTGCGACCTGACATAATACTGGACATCAGTGCCCGCGCTATGGCCTTCTGGAGCTATCAGGTCAAATATGTTTCTGTCTGTAGACTATATGAACTTTGTGTAGCCCAGCAGCTGTGAACCTTGATTGTTTATGTCAGTTCAGTTGTCTTAGCTTGTCAGGTTCTCATATACAGGTACATCAGGAGCATATGTACCAAGAGTACAATATGTCACGAGCCGAGGCACAGCTGAAACAGATGGAGAAGGTGTTAACCCAGCAGAACCATAGCAGGGAACTGGAGCTCTCTGCCATGAGGGGAGAAATCACCTCTCTGAAGAAAGTAAATCACAACTCCTAAGTCTACAGTCATGATCTCATTTTGACATGTAGAAAGTCAAAAGAATATGTAGAAATATAAAATATCTTGTTTGTGCCAGGTGATGGAGGAGTACAAGAGGAAGTACAGTGAGGTGTCTGAGAGACTGATGGAGAGGAACAGGCAGTACCAGAAACTGCAGGGGCTCTACGACTCTCTGAGGCTGCGAAACATGGTGGTGGGTGTTGGGGAAAGAGACATGCTGCTGCAACCAGGACATCACAGCTTCAAATCTGGTATGAACAATTTGAACTTAATGCCCTTAAGAGTTAAGGGTGTGCTCTTGAAATCGAATAGATGATTTTTGGATGGGAGATAGCAATGGGAAACATTTACGGTATGTTTTAAGTGGACGCTGGCTTGGAGGAGCTCATGAATGATGACGCTACAAATTCAGCATTTACCCGTTCAACTTTATGAAAATGTTTAAAACTTGCTCTGTATAAACAGGGAAACTCAGGAATAGAGGGTATTACACTGTAAATATGATATTGTCAGATATGAAACATTACAATATTCATCTTCAGTACTACTTAAATTTAAAAAATTATTTTTTTAAAATAATATACTATTCACATGTGAACAGAATGACTCCTGAGTTCATAGAAAACTGTTTGCCAGTAATTCATTAAGCAGAAATGTCAAAGCTTTGTCAGTTACCATAAACTAAACCACTAATAAGGTGACAGATTAATTCAGTAATAATAATGAAACTAATAAGGTACATTATGTTTAGCAGGAAAACAAAAGGACATCCAGTAGAGATGAGAAAAATGAAGTGTTTTTGTCTCTGGCTGGGAATGAAACGCTTTTAGCAAATCAGCTGTCGTGTTGTGCCCACAGTGACTGATGAGAAGAGGAAGGAAGCACAGAGAGAGTAATGTTAAATGGCACAAAGGTGGACACAGTTGTAGGTGTGTTGTTAAGAAGTAGTCATGAAGAAAACACTGTAGGAGTGATGAGCTAATTGTCTGTGTAAGGGAAATTTAGTCAGTCTAACAATGAGGGACATCCGTCATGCTCCTGTGTGTCGCCCAGGGGTGGCTCAGCAGGCGACGCCCCAGAGGAGCCCTGTGTTTTCCTCTGTGGGCCGTGATGGCGACAGTCAATTCTTCTCCTGTCTGGAGGCCAACGGAGCCAAGACCTTCTTCCAGTTCAGCTCCCCTGCTCTGGAGAAAGGCCGGCCCTTCATCAAGAAGCACTGAGGACAGCAGGTTTCATAGTTACTGTGGACTTTAACCAGACTATAGTTATTCATGTTACCAAACTGTTCTGGTTTAATAATTAATTTTTGTGGTATTTATTGCAATTTCGAACCATAAATGTGTTTTTGAACAACAAACTGTTGGTTAAAATTAGTAGTTGAATGTGATTTGTAAAGTTTTAGTCCTGACTTTATAAATTTATGTTGTTACTACAGTAAATTTAAGTAATATACAACAAACACTGACCAAAATGTTCTTCATCAAAGAATAACAGACTAAGTAACACATTCAGGATGACATCACTGTAGAATTAAGCCCTTTGGTTTTGGTTTTAGTATTTTCACTACAGGGTTAGTGTCACCCAAATTTAAACTGGAAAATGCAATGCTTGTTTTAGGTATAAAAATTAAAAGGAAATATACCTATTCTATATATATATATATTAGTACAAATGTCATAATGTAGATCTATTTAGGTCCCTTGTGTGATTACTGCAAATTTAAAACAAAGCTGTTTTCACACAATGGTATCATTTTTATATAGTAAAACGGATGTCAGAAAGTCAGGTGCAGGTTATACTGCAGGTGACATTTGACCAAGTACGTGTTTATTGTATTGTGCCTCTGTAGGGCAGAATAGACTTTTTACATGATAGACATTTTGATATGTGACAGTAGGTAAAGCACTGGTGTAATTAATATGATGAATGATGGTGGAAATGCTATTTAGCCACTTCATTTTCAAGGTTCAGGCATTGTTTACGCTGGCTTTCTGTCATAACTTACCCAAACAGAAAGGAGCCGTTGTTATTCATATTGGTAACAGCTATACGTCTCTACTATCCTAAGTTAAAATGTCCTTAGTAAAAAGAGCCTATACAGCTATATAAACACATTTGGGGCATTTTGGGAACCCCGATGGACACATGATCCTACTTTGAAAACTGCTCTTTTAAGATACCACAAACTGTTCAAGGTAAATTTCATCACATTGTCGTCATCCCAGATTTATTCATTTACAAAAAGAACTCCATGTTATCCACACAACTGAATATAAAAAAAGAGAAACATAAATATAAACAAACTGTCTCTAAAGAGAGTTTAACATAATGACTTCTATTTACAAAATACAAAAAACTGGCAGAGACTTGGGAATTTTCAAACTTCCACAGCTATGCCAACTCTTCTAACATCCAGCAAAAAAAAAAAAAAAAGTGGTCCTCTTGCTTCTTGCTCAGCTCATTCACTCTGGGGCTTGTAGCTGACAGAGGCAGCAATTTGACTGTGAATGTTTTGTTTCTTGCCGTTAACAATGAGCAGCAGAGGGGAGTCCACTCGAATGCTTCTGAAGTCAAACAACTACCAGAGAGAAGAAAAGCAAAAGTCAGACAATGAGACCAGCAGTGTTCTGTAAATTTTCAACTACTCAGATGAAGCACTGACCTTATCTTTATGTGTTATACTATGTCGTTTGACCTGAGGCTCAGGAACGACTACAGAGTCCCCTATCAGGACGCCCCAGCTGTCTGCTGTATTGTATACCATCACCACTATACACGTCTCCTCACTGTCCACCATGCCGAACGTACTGGTGGAAAGAGAGAGTGCAAAATTTTATAGCACGGCTCCAAAAATCACTGATGCTCCAAGACTGAAGCAAACTGTGTGGATTGTTGGACTTGATGATAAAAGAAACTACACTCACAAGGCCATGTGACCTGCAGAGGCCAGGCTGAATACCACCTTGCCCAGGGCGGCCACCCCTGTGTTATGCCCGTGTGTGAGGGAAGAAAACGTTCGAGGCTCCAGGCTGCCCACGCGGCCCGTGGGGGAACGAAACTGAGGGGAGGAGCAGGGGCCCAGACTCGATGTGTTGAGGTTAGAGAGCATTGTCCGTAACCGACGCGCCTTCATCTTCCCCTGAAGAGAGAGACTGAAAATTAGAGGAATTAAGGGAGACAGGGTGGGCTTTGCTGCCACCTTGTGGTGAAATATGAAATCGTATCTTGATAACGTGTGACATCACTAAACAGACTCAAAGATGATAGTTTGATATATTCTCTATTTTTAAGATGAATCAATCATTAAAATGTTTACTTTCAGTTTCTCTACTTACTCCCAAAATCCTTACAAAATTGAAAAAACATGGCTAATGAAACACAACTTTCATTGTGATTCATCTATTTTCCTTATATATTCTGTACAGAGAATGAAACCAGTATATGAGAAAAAAGGAACTAACTCTTCTAAAGGTCACGTTAGGATTGTTGTGATATGTAAATGGCTGGTAATAACAGGTAATAATGTCATAATGACACTGATTTATGCACCAAGTGTAAGAATGACCCACCTTGTTCTGTACAAGTTCTGTGACTTTCTCCAAATACTCCAGCAGCTGCTTCTCTCTCTCTGGAGGGTCCTCCCAGCCCGGGTCGAGCGCTGCCGCTTGGCTGTAGCCGCCTAGCGCAGACCCGAACATCTCCTCGTACTGGAACAGAGTGGCTCTGTTGAAATGTAACTCAGGGTAACAAGAGGCAGCTTTGTCCACTTTCTCCTACAAAGAGGTAGATGAGAGTAAAATATTAGTTCACCAATAGATTTGAACTGTACCAACTTGTCAGATGTGTATACTCACAGACTGTGCATAGGCACTTAGAGCTTGTTGAGACAGCTGTGGATTTTGTCCACATTTGAAAAACAGGGACACGTAGGCATTTCCCAGAATATCTGTGGAAAAAAAAAAAACAGTAACATAAATTATTGTGAAATTACTGTTATAACTTCCTTCTAAATTTGCATCTCAAGAGTCAAGATTTTTATTTGCCATTTATGCATAAACAGACAGTCTAGGCATATAGGGATTCTTGTGCAGGGCTCTCCTGGAGTCAGGTAAAGAGTTTCAAGCCAAAAGAATGAACACCTAGTCTAAATATAAGATCACCCAACATTATAAAACAATACAAAAAACAAGAATACCCAAGAACACAAAATAGTTAATAAAATTGTGAACGAAAGAATGAACACCTAGTCTAAATATATGATCACCCAAGAATACAGAAAACAAGAATACAAATTTGTTGATAAAACTATGGATACAGGAATAAGATAGCAGGTAAAATGGAGAGTTTCAAATATTGTACATAGTGGAACTGTGTATGGTATGGTGGTGTCATGAGTGTTATAAACTGCTCCTTCACTACAGACAGAAAAGGGAGCAGCACCCACTCTCCTATCTTCCTAAGAACCCTGATTCTACTCACACCATGACGTTCCATCTGTGACATCCAGCTGGACAGCTTGTCGGGCCATGTCCACGCTCTCCAGCACCTGCTTGCCATGGGCAACACTATCAGCTGCCGGCAGCTGCCTCAGCACCATGGACAGGTTGCGTAGAGACACTTTGTTCTTGCTCTGCAGAGCAGAGGAGGAACATAGAGCACAGACAGATGAGTTAAACAAAATCCATCATTGAGACACAGAAAAGGTAAATAAGATTTTCAGTACTTTTATTACTGCAAGTTCACTGGATATAGACATGGTGTAAATGTTAAGATACAGGGTGCAATTTAAATCCTTTAAAGCAAATATGTAAACCTTTAGTATTCAAATGTACATATAGCATACTTCATGTTTTAATCAGCAACTTGGTATGTAATTCTTGAATTATAGCTTTTTATATAAAGTCAAGGCAGCTAAATAGAAAAAGAGTGAACAACACTCCTCTCTCCACCCTTACTGTACCTGCTGCAATGCCCCACTGAAGCAGTTCTTGGCACCGGTCAAATCTCCTTTTTTCCAGTACTGCTCGCCTAATGTGTTCCAGCCCTCGACCAGGCTAGGCTCCAGCTTCACAGCCCGGGAAAGGAACTCTTCTGCTACAGCACTGAAGTCTGGAGCTACGTTCAGACACCTACCCTTCTGCAGCAAAAACTCAGCTTTGTGTTTATAGCGCTCTGTGGAAAATCATAAATCCATAGATAACCGTGAATGTGAATGATATAAGGCCAAAGGACTGTTGTGTAATTACTGTGTAACACTCACCTTCTTTCTCCTCCAGCTTCTTCAGTGTCTTCTCTATCTCCTGTGCAACATCACTTTGTTTCCTCCCAGCTTCATCCACACTGTGAGTTACAAAGTAGTGATCCCTGAAATTATACAGTTCATCCACGAGTTCCTGTAACAGGGAGGGTGCATAAGGTGGGCAGATGTCAAAAAATAGGTTGTGACTTGACAGATTTAGAATTAAAGAAAGGCACATTTATTGTAGTTCATTCTGTCTAGTACAATAATCAGTATATATGCATTTTAGTGATGATGGTTTTCTAGGAGAATCTCACTTAATACAACAGGCATTTAAATATTTTTAACAAGCAGAGGGCGACTTATTTAAAGATGTTATGTTAGGCTGTTAATAGAAGAAATATAGCAGGGATACTCCTGATACAGTTTCAGAAATGAAGGCTAATACCAAAAGCTGTTAACATGACAGTCGTTATAGTAACGAGTCGTTCCGGTGTCCTGTACGCAAACTACAATACGACACCCGATTTTTACTGCATGACGGGACAAAACAACCGCGATTTGAGAAACCGGGTTGATTTAAATAACCTAAATTATAACTCACAGGACGTACCTTCATAATTTCCAGATCGTTCTTGTCTTTCACTGGCTCACTGCTCTTCTCGCCTTCCGCCATCTTTTTAGCTTAGAGCAACAACTGCTTACAGTAGGGCTACTGGGAAGAGGTTGGGCAAAATGTAGTTTTATGAAATCTGTATTATATCTAAGGCTCTGCTGTTAACGTGGTGACCTAAATCACCCATGTCTTTCACGAAATTATCACCAATGCAGTGAGTTTTTTGCAGAGAGGAAACGTGCTTTTAATTTCAGCGACGCCGGAAGTTGGTGTTCGATAACCAAAATGATTCCGATGCACAACCTCTTGTAAAAAAAAAAAACGGAGACACATTTATCGCTGAGTTTTGCGCCCCCAAAATATACACGTTAATACAGACCAATTAAAGTATAACAATTTATGTAATACTGATAGTAAAATTGGCACAGTTATTCATTCACAAAGCATCAAAATGTCGGAACCTTTCCCTCACGTTGCTGGTACGACACAATTTCGCAGTGTGCCATACGGTTTTCGACCTAGCATTGTGGACAGTGGTTTCTAAAATTCGTTAAGTTTGGTTGCTGTTGGAGTTTTACTGCAGTTGAACGTAGATCGTTATGTCGGACACTTGGAGCGATATCCAGGCGCACAAGAAGAAGCTGGACTCTCTGCGGGAGAGGCTGCAGCGGCCCGGGGGTTGGGGACCACTGCAGTACGATCACATCACGCAGCAGAATGTATAAGAGCAAGAAAGCTTTAAGGACATCTCATGTTCTGAGAAGCATTATTGAAAGTATTGTTAAATGAATAAACGCCAAGAAATTCTTTATTTTTCAGTCTGTCAACTAGTAAGGTGTCTCTCCCCCTCACCCCACCCGTTATTCAGTATCCTTTGTTAAAACCCTTATTAGAACCACAATAACATCACAAAAAGAAAAGAAGAAAGTACCGGGACTATTGAAAATTACTGGTAAATAAGATTGCAGAAGTGAAAAAACACATAACTTATTTATGGAAATATTTTATTTAGCAATACCTTCAATAATGCTTCTCAAAATATGAGATGTCCATAAAGCTTTCTTGTTCTTAGAAATTCTACAGATAGTCATAAGACATTTTTCTCTGTAATTAGGATCAAGATCTTATGACTCTGCCAGATTAATAAGGAAATTTGGATCTAGAAGTTATTTGAGTAAGTGCAGGAGTAAAATAAATCAGCTAAGGACTTAGGTTCCTTTTTGCAAAAGGAACATAGAGGAATAACATCTGGTCTAAAGTGGTGTATAAATTAATTGCAGGGATAATATCTGTGTAAAATCTTTATGAATTTCTTTAATATCCATCCATCCATCCATTTCCTCCGCTTATCCGGAACCAGGTCACGTGGGGTAGTGGTCTAAGCAAAGATGCCCAGACTTCCCTTCTTTAATATTATTAGCAACAAAGATTTGTTAAATTAGGTCCAAATGTAGTTGGGTTTGGGGCTGTTGGTGGGACACAACAAGATATCAGAAGAAGTCACCTAGTGCTCTGAGAAATTGCTTTTTTTTTTTTTTTTGACATTTCAAAAACACAAGATTGACTTGACAACTAAAAATGCTGAATGCTCAGATCCCAATTTTGGGTCTTTTGAAGTTTATCAAACAAGACCGTTAAGTTGCGGAAAACTCCTGATTTAACACAAACAATTTGGAAATCATCATCTAGCTTTAAAAACCTCATTAAAATGATGTGTGCTTACAAGTTTATTTTATTCCTTCACCCCCGTTGTCCCCTGTCACTCAGATGGCGGCGGCAGCACAGATGGGTCAGCAGTAAGGAGTGACAGTCCAGCTCCGTCGACTCAGTTCACTTCTCAGGAGGAAGCAGAAAAACCACCAGACCCTGAACTAGAGAGGAGGTTGCTGGGATATCTGTCTGATCTCAGTCTTTCATTACCTATAGACTCCCTTGCCATCACAAATGAACTCAACAGTGTGAGTTTGTGTTTGTGATTCCCAGAGTTGAACATAGAAACATGATGTTATGATGTTACGGTCATCTTAGCTGCATCTTATTGACATCTTAATATTTCTGACTTCATCTAATATTTGATTCTTGCTCACAGTCTGAATCACCCGTGAGCCATGGGTGCATCCACAGTCTGCTGCTCAAATTCTCTGCTCAGGAGTTCATTGAGGTTCGTCAGCCCACCTCAGCCTCTTCCTCTACAACCACCACCTCTACAGTTGTTGTAGCAGTGGATCATACAAAACTATGGGCAATGATTGGGTCTGTGGCTGGAGCCCAAAGGACTGGAGTTAAGAGAAAGGCAGAAGACCAAACCCACAACAAAAGAGCTGCAGGCTTCTCGCCCTCACTACAGAGCTCAGCTTCCCCTCCGCCCACCTCTTCCATCTCTCTGACACCGGTTTCCTCCTCACACCTGATGGGGCAGTCGGCCTCAGGGAGTGGGGCTGAGAAGAAGGGGAGGAACAGTAAAACTCAGTCGTCTCATGTGGACATGGAGATCGAGAGCCTCCTGAACCAACAGTCCACCAAGGAGCAGCAGAGCAAGAAGGTACGAAGGATGGTTATTCTCACCAGTTTGATTTACAACTGTTTGAAACTGAGGCGTGATAGTTGAAATGCTTAGTTACAGTTTTGACATCATTTGAATGTTATGTGTGTGTAGGTGAGCAGAGAGATTCTTGAGCTGCTCAACGCCAGCACTGCCAAGGAGCAGTCCATCGTGGAAAAGTTCAGGTCTCGCGGCCGTGCTCAGGTTCAAGAGTTCTGCGATCACGGGACCAAAGAGGAGTGTGTACGCTCAGGAGACACACCTCAACCATGCACCAAGTTACACTTCCGGTCAGTACTTTATCTCCACCACCCAGCATGTTGAATCTCTCTATCAGACACTTCACAGCAGATATGGCAGAAAGCACAAATTTAGATTTTGACTTTGGTTTTATCCAGAAAAACATACTTTTCATAAATACTAAATAAAACTATAAATAACATTACACATAAATGTGAGTTTTATATTTTTTTACTTAGTGGCCCTGACTGCCCCAATCATAATAGCGACCATCCCAGATTCAAGTGAAAGCTGTGACGTGCTGATTTAATTGCTGTATTACAGATCAGACAAATCACGATTAAGTCATTGTTACTCCAAATTTATATCAGAGAGAGCGCATTTTTGCACTGTTCTGGCAAAACACTGCAAATAATGTGAATAAATATCATTTTCATTTATATTGGCTCTAAAACTACAACATCAGTTTTTATCTTGATCAAATGGAAACAAGAAAATGCATCTTGTTACTTGCTTTTATCTCTTCGGGCTGTTTAAGATAGATTAAACAATCTGAATCCCGTCAGGAGGGATCACAAGTAGATGCTTCTTTACTTTAAGGGCACAATTCAAAGGGGCTGGAAAATCTTTATATCATTATTATCAATATATTTAGATATTGGCTTCCTCTAGTTTGCAGTTATGTTTTAAATAAAGGAAGTTTTGTGGATATTTTTTTAACAATCTGAACCTGAAATTCTTTTTAAGACTAACATTTTTACTTTGTGACACTTTTTTTTGTTTGTTCAGTCGCATCATCAACAAGCACACAGATGAGAGCCTCGGTGACTGCTCCTTCCTCAACACGTGTTTCCACATGGACACCTGCAAATATGTCCACTATGAGATTGACAGCCCTCCAGAAGCCGAGGGGAGCCTGCTGGGGCCCCAGGCCGGGACCACTGAGCTTGGTCTCCATGCGGGAGACACCGACAGCAATGTGGGCAAACTCTTCCCCGCACAGGTGAGGAAGAGAGAAGATGGGGTAGACTGAACTAGAAAGATGTTTGTAATGTTTGGCTGGTTATAAAAATGTCTGAGTTGATGCTTCAATCCCTAGTGGATCTGCTGTGATATCCGCTACTTGGACGTTTCAATTCTGGGTAAGTTTGCTGTGGTGATGGCCGACCCTCCGTGGGATATCCACATGGAGCTGCCCTATGGTACTCTGACTGATGACGAGATGAGAAAGCTCAACATCCCGATCCTGCAGGACGATGGCTTCCTCTTCCTCTGGGTCACCGGGAGGTACCTAATACAGTGCTAGTTTTTGTTTTTTTTTGATACGGTAAAAGCAAGTGATTGGCTTCTTGAGATCTAGCAGTTTCTCTGTATGCAAGTTTGTTTTGAGTCTGGAAAGACCGAAGGTGGTTGACAGCAAGGCCTAGTTCTTCATGTATCATCTCAAAACAGGAGCATTAATAGCTGTGTCCATCCACGATTCGGTGTCCTGCAACGTCAACATGCCCTCAAACCAAACACTAACTCGCCTGACTTGAAGAACCTTTTCTTCAGCTGTGACTTTGTCTTTGTCCCTATTGTATAAACTGAGGGTTGTAAGCAGTTTGTGACTGCACACACAGATATTTTCATCTAGGTTGAACCTGCATGGTAATATGTTTGTAGACAGAGTCCTGTGGTTTTGTCTGCTGAAACTCCTCCTCCTTTCAGGGCTATGGAGTTGGGCAGAGAGTGTCTCAGTCTCTGGGGGTAAGTTTTTCCTTTTGGCCATTTCCCACCATTAAGCTGATTTGTTACGACAGAATCTGATGTGCTTTGTTTTCCTCCCTCAGCTATGAGCGTGTCGATGAAATCATTTGGGTGAAAACCAACCAGCTTCAGAGAATCATTCGCACTGGTAGGACAGGCCACTGGCTGAACCACGGGAAAGAGCACTGTCTGGTATGTTTACATTTCTCTGCTTTTAGACATCATCCTGTTGATTTTATTTTTTATCTGCTCCTGTCATACATGGATGAACCTGCAACTTGGGACTTCAAGCTCAAGGAGGATGTGCTGTAACTAGAAGGTGTTTTGGAGCAACGTACTGAGCTGCTGCTGCTGGCTTGTTCTTTGTGAATATACCATGTGGTTTGTTTTTCTTCAGGTGGGTGTCAAGGGAAACCCTCAGGGATTCAACAGAGGTTTGGACTGTGATGTCATTGTAGCTGAGGTAAATGACTGCAAATAGTCTGTTACCCTCCTACTCCTGGAGGCTGGAAAGGTTGTCTCTGTAATATCATTACACTTACACACTCTCCCAGGTTCGCTCCACCAGCCACAAGCCAGATGAGATCTACGGCATGATAGAGAGACTGTCGCCCGGCACCAGGAAGATCGAGCTGTTCGGTCGACCCCACAACGTCCAACCGAACTGGTAACATAGCTTAGTACAAGACCAAATGACTGTTCTAGGTGCTTTAAATGTACTGAATGTCTTTTTCCTTGCATCTCTTATAGGATAACTCTTGGAAACCAGCTCGATGGCATTCACCTCTTGGATCCTGAAGTTGTGGCTCGGTTTAAGATGCAATATCCAGACGGCGTCATCTCCAAACCCAAAAACATGCAGTGATCATCATTCCTCAGTGGTCACAGGTCTGGACACATTTGTATATAGACTTTTTTTTTTTTTTTATACCAGTGAACTGTTTTTAACAATTTGCTAACAAGAAATATCTGACTTGGTTAGGAAGTGATCAAAACGATGTGGAGCAATGTTCTCATCATTTCTTGACATTACTTTGTGTATGATGTAAATATTTAATGGGGGAAAACCTTCACCATCATCCATCATCAATAAAATCACATGAGACATGCATAATGTACATTTGTTTTGTTAGTAAAGAAAGTTATATTTTCATGCACTGTACACTGGAATCATTGACAGTTTGCAAAGGATAATTTTAGGTTGAAATTTCAGCAGG